TTCAAGGTGGGATTAGGTTGGGGCCAATATCCAAATGACATCAACTGTCAAGGAAATAAAAGCTTTCTGCCATTTTATACGTATGTTCCTCATTCAGATTACACAGTTCTTGTGTTGTGTTCAGTGTAACGCTCTCACTGGCTTTGTTCCCGTGAAGGCCAGTGGATAAAACTTCTTACGCTATTCATGAGGGATATTCATTGCCTTGAAGCAGGGAGCTGGGAAAGACAGGCCAGTTCTGAATCAGAAAACCAGAGCTCAGTGACTCTCAGAGCTCAGAGGCACAAAAGTAAGCCATGTTATATGATTGGGTCTGGCTCTGTTGTGTTTTTTTTGGTTTTTCAATTTTTAATATTTTGTTTTATATATATATATCCTCATTTTTAGGAGAGATATATATCTCCTATATATATATATATATATATATATCTCATAATATTTGTCTCACATATATATATATATATATGTATATCTCCTCATTATTTTTGGTAAGGTTTCCTTTCAAAGTTCTGGCCCTGTTTCTGGAGACATAAAGAAAGGCTTTAGATCCTTGGGAGCGGGGTTCTTACAATGTGGTCTCAGGGCCAGGAGCAGCAACAGCATCTCCCTGGGGACTCAGGAGTAATGCAGGTTCATGTGTGTCACCCACATCTACTGATCAGGATCTCTGGGTGTGGGACCCAATGATAAAAGCCGTCCAGGCGGTTCAGATACTGCTCAGGGTTGAAAACCGCAGGCTGATCTGAAGAGCTGCAGGGTACAGCGCCCTCTGGAGGCCACAGCAGCCATGAGAAAAAAAGCAGCTGCCTGCGGAAAAAGGAGCAGGAGTCCAGGTTTCCAAGTCCAGCTGTCCCTTCTCATGCAAAGAGACTTCTGCTGTGGTCAACTTTGGAGATCCTGACTTGATTTAATTAGATACCGCTGTTTTTTATATAATAGTGCAGGCTCTCAGCATGGATGAATATGGGTGTCTTCTGAAATATTTAGTGTTCTATTTACTTTTTCCAGCTCGGGTGTTCATATCATTCCCCTATTCAAAATTTTTTTTACTGGTGCTTCATTAAATAGTCATCTCAGCCTAGTCTTTTTTTTTTTTTTTTTTTTTTTTTTTTGTAGGAGAGTTTCGCTCCGTTGCCAGGCTGGAGTGCAGTGGCACAATCTTGGCTCACTGAAACCTCCACCTCCCAGGTTCAAGCAATTCTCCTGTATCAGCCTCCCCAGTAGCTGGGATTACAGTTGCGTGCTACCACACCCAGCTGTTTTGTATTTTTAGTAGAGACAGGGTTTCACCATGTTGGCCAGGATGATCTTGATCTCTTGACCTCATGATCCGCCCACCTCGGCCTCCCAAAGTGCTGGGATTACAGGCGTGAGCTACCGTGACCTGCCCTCAGCCTAGTCTTTAAGGCTTCTGCAATGGGTCCAGTCCTCATTCTCAGCTCTCTCTTTCTTCCTCCCTACATGGAAAAATGCTTCTTGCTTGCTTTTGTGTTCATGTAGCTCATGCAACAGCGGCAGCTCACACAGTGTGTCTATTCACAACTGTGTTTCTTCTCTAAACCAAGCTCCTAAAGGACAGGGACCACATTCCGTTCCTGCTTTTCCCAGCATTTAGCACAGTGCCTGTTAATCATAGCTGGTTGGAAAATGTTTTAAAAATGAGTAAGTGGGTGAATATTACTTGTGGTCTCTCTATGCTGAATTATTTGCTGTTCTTGGAACTTTCTTTGTCTTCCTTCATGCAGTTCCTTCCAATGGCCATTACATGTCCATCTCTACCCTCTCAAAATCCCACCCATTTTTTAAGATTCACTCATAGTGGCTGCTTAATAAACTTGTGGGAGTGAACTGTACAGAGCGTGCACTTGATTGAGCAGAGTCATCAACTGGCAAGTTCATTAAGCCACACTGTTCCTAGGGCAAAATGCACACATGATAAAAAGTGGCACAAATAACAATGACATTAATCTATAATATAAATCACTTGTATTGGTTGAGATCTTATGATATGCCAAACCTTGCACTAAGGTTTTTACATGTTGAATTTTATTTACTTCTTAAATCAGTTTATGGAGAAGGTATTGTTATTTACAAAAATTTAGAATGAGGAAATGGAGCCACAGAGGGGTTAAATAATTTGCCCAAGATTATATAGGTAAAAATGTCAAAGACTAGGTTTCACTGTGGTGCCTAGGCTGGTCTTGAACTCTTAGGATCAAGTAATCCTTCCTCCTCAGCCTCCCAAATAGCTGGGACTATAGTTATGCCACCATACCCAGCTAAAGCCAATATTAAAATGTACATCTGGGCCAGGTGTGGTGGTGCATGCTTGTAATCTCAGCACTTTGGGAGGCCAAGGCAGGCGGATCACGAGGTCAAGAGATTGAGACCAACCTGGACAACATGGTGAAACCCCGTCTCTACTAAAACTACAAAAATTAGCTGGGCATGGTGGCACATGCCTGTAGTCCTAGCTACTCAGGAGACTAAGGCAGGAAAATCCCTTGAACTCAGGAGGCGGAGGTTGCAGTGAGCTGAGATTGCACCACTGCACTTCAGCCTGGTAACAGAGCAAGACTCGGTCTCAAAAAAAAAAAAAAAAGTAGGTCTGGTAGACACCAAAGTCAATGTTTTTAAGTTGAAACTAAATAGATTATTAATAAAGTATATAGATATTAGAAATCTTGACAAAACAGAACTGCAAATCTAAACAGATAAGACCTGAATTCACATGCCAGTCAATGAATAAATTAATATTTACTGAGCACCTGCTATGGGTCTGGCTTTTTTTTTTTTTTTTTTTTTTTTTTTTGTGATCGGGTCTCACTGTGTGCCAGACTGGAGTGCAGTGGTACGATCGCAGCTCGCTGCACCCTCTGCCTCTCAGGTTCACAGGATCCTCCTGTCTCAGCCTCCTGTACTCCTGGGACTGCAGGCATGCACCACCACTTCCAGCTAATTTTTGTATTTTTGGTAGAGACAGGATTTCACCATGTTGGCCAAGATGGTGTCAATCTCTTGACCTCGTGATCTGCCCACCTTGGCCTCCCAAAATGTTGGGATTACAGGCGTGGTCAGGCATTGTTCTAGGAACAGGATGATTTAGCAGATGAACAGGCAAGGTCCCTGCTCTCAGGAATTTACTTTCCAGTGAGAGAATCTGTTTAGAAGGTAACATTTGAGCCAAGCCCTGGGTGATGTGGAGGAGCAGTCATATAAAGATTTGGGAAGAGCCTGTCCCAGGTGAAAGGAAGGAAGAGGAAGTGCAAAGTTCCCTAAACTAAGAAGACCAACAGAGGAGCCAATCAGCAGAAACCACTGAGTGGAATTTACCCTGGATCAAGCTGTGCTTTCTGGACACAGCTTCCATGAAAGAAGGAACCAAACACCGCGCCTGGCCTGACACATTCTTTTTTTTTTTTTTGAGATGGGCTCTTGCTCTGTAGCCCAGGCTAGAGTGCGGTGGCACGGCCTCAGCTTGCTGCAACCTCCACCTCCCAGGCTCAAGCGATTCTCCTGCCTCAATTTCTCGAGTAGCTGGGAGTACAGGTGCGAGCCACCATGCCTGACTAATTTTTGTATTTTTAGTAGAGACGGGATTTCACCATGTGAAACCTGGTTGGTCTCCAACTCCTGACCTCGAGTGATGCCCCCCTCAGCCTCCTCAAGTGCTGGGATTACGGGTGTGAGTCACTGCTCTGGGATAGGTCAGCCAACTGTTAAGGGAATCTATAAAAGCCAAACAGCTTCCCTGGAAGCATATAAAGAGAATCTTGTCTCATGCAACTGTAGGACAGACTGGGCTAAAGATCAGGCCTAGGAATTAATAATAAGGTGGCAGGGCTGCAAGAACAGGTGAATGTGTAGCTTCCGCTTGTCTTCTGGTTAGGGTACCAGCTTAAGAAACTCGCATGGATATGTCTGAGAAACTTGAACTCCTTGCTGTATTCTTTTGACCCCTCTTGGCTGGCAGAACCAACAGTTCTTACTAAAGGAGAATAGCCTCCTTTTGCCTGAAGACCAAGAAAGACCTCATGTGAAGTGGCTGTGTCAAAAGGTGATGGTTAAAGGCCGGTGTGGTGGCTCAGGCTTATAATTGCAGCACTTTGGGAGGCTGAGATAGGAGGATTGCTTGAGCTCAAAAGTTTGAGACCAGCCTGGGCACCATAGCAAGTCCTCATCTGTACTTAAAAAAAAAAAAGAAAGAAAAATTGGCTGGCCATGGTGGTGCATGGTTCTAGTACCAGCTACTTGGGGGGCTGAGGTGGGAGGATCACTTGCCAGGAGGTTGAGGCTGCAGTGGGCCGTGATGGCACCTCTGTGCTCCAGCCTGGACAGCAGAGTGAGACCCTGTCTCAAAATAAATAAAATGAAAGATGATGGTCATTCTTTTTTTTTTTTTTTTTTTTTTTTTTTTGAGACGGAGTTTTACTCTTGTTACCCAGGCTGGAGTGCAATGGCGCGATCTCGGCTCACCGCAACCTCCGCCTCCTGGGTTCAGGCAATTCTCCTGCCTCAACCTCCTGAGTAGCTGGGATTACAGGCGCGCGCCACCATGCCCAGCTAATGTTTTGTATTTTTAATAGAGACGGGGTTTCACCATGTTGACCAGGATGGTCTCGATCTCTTGACCTTGTGATCCACCCGCCTCGGCCTCCCAAAGTGCTGGGATTACAGGCTTGAGCCACTGCGCCTGGAGATGGTCATTCTTGAGATCTGACACTCTCATGCCCACCCTCCTGCTCATTCCTTCCAGACCAATAACTAGGGTCAGGTCTCAGCATAACCTAAAAAGGAAGGTTTAATATCTGCTACAGTAGAAATAGGTATTCACCAAAATAACTGCAGAATTTGGCATGCAGAATATGTACTGTCTGGAACCAGAGGAGCACGTACAGGAATGGTTTTGAGAGTACTGGGTTGGGGGAGGGTGGAAGAGCAAAATATAAGGCTGATTAGGGCAGAGTGAAATAACACCAGAATGCTCTTTCCTGATTCAGGATTAAACGTTCTAGCAAGGAAACATGAAGCCGGTCCAATGTGCTGCTGGGATGGCCCCTTGAAGCTTGAACATGATGATGACCTTCAGCAAAGGAGGTGGAGATGTACAGAGGAGGAGGTTAGTAGGCTCAGAGAAGAGGGTGTGATAGAACGGATTTATTGCGTAAGACTATTTATTACCGACTGGGCTTTCCAGGAGGGTCCAGAGGTAACTCTTTTTATCAAAGAGATCAAAAATGTGCTAGAGAGGGGCACCAGAATCATTGAAAGCTCAGGGGTGTCTTCCTCTGTAGGTTGGGGCTAATAATCTTAGGTGGTATCGGAAAGCTGATCTCTCTGATGTCAATGGGAACAGTAAGATTTCAGAATGACAGAGACCAGCAGCAGCACTTAAGCATCAGGTGGATGGAGACATAATTATCATAATTAACAGTAAGAGTGGAGTGTCAAATAGATCACCTTGACCTTCAAGAGGGTAATGATGCTTCATAGAGCATGTTCTTAGAGGTGAGGCAGATGAGCAGCCAACTAGGGTGATGCTTGAGTTATAGCCAGAAAATAAAAGAAATAATGAGAGAAGGACTGATGTTAGTTACCAGTATAAATCCTCTCTATCCCCGTTTTCATATTTAAGTAATTCTCAGACCCAGAGTCCACTTAGAAGGGAGCATGGGTCTTTGGAGGGAGGATTCTACAGCTCTCCAGCAAGTATATACAATACATGGTCCTCTAATTCTCCCCCCAATAGAACTACATGCTGGGGAAGTTTCTATATGCGCCCTGTCCAGGGCTATTGGATACAGGATTTCAGCTGCAAAGTTTCAAGGAGGACCATCATATCCCTGATCAGTTGCATGACCCCTGTAAAAACCAGATGGGCTATGGCAATAAAGGTGGACTACAACAGATTTACACAAATGGCCCCAATTATAGCTGCTGCACTATATCTTTACTGTTACAGGTCTGGCACTTGATATTTGGTTATTGGTCTGAAGAACACTTCCCCCCACATTCTGTCAGTAAAATTGATCAAAAGGGTTCACATTATTGTGGGAAGTATAGTAATGAACCTTCGCTGAATTGGGTCAAGGTTGTATTAAACACCGTGATTTCTGAAATAAAATAGTCTCCATGATCCTTGATCATCTTGACATTTTGCAGCATATCATGATGGTATCTCACTGATACTCTGTTAATTGGATCTGGGGAACAGAAAGTAGCAAAGACTGTGGATGCTCTAGTTAGATATATGGGGTCCAAGATAAAATGAAAAAGGTCCAGGGGGCTGCCATCTTGGTGAAGTTCATAGGGGTCCAATTGTTAGCGATATGCTGGACATTCCCTTTAAGGAGAGAAACAAATCATAGCATCATGTCCCCTCCACCACCAAAAGGAGTAGTGATTGTTAAGCATCTTTGGATTCCAAATGCAGCCAATTCTGAGTGGAGACCAGTGCAAAAAAGGACTTTATAACAGGCTAGAGCTGTGCTGCAGTCTGCCCTGAGACTAGTGCTAAATGACCCAGCAGGCCCAGTGGTGCTAGAGGTACCCAAGGTGGAAAGGATGCTGCTCCGTCTCTGACAAGCTCCAGTAGGAGAAGCACAGAACTGTATCTCACAGTCTTTCTGGATACAATCATGCCTTCTGAAGCAGAGAACCACACACTATAGGAAAAGAAGCTTGATGAGGGCTATCGCGCCATTGTAGAGCCTGAGAGTATCTGACTAGGATGCCAAGTGACGATGAGAATGGAGATGCTCACCATGGATGGGGCATCATCATAACCACTGATGCATAAGGGACTTTTGTTATTTGTTGCACAATGAAAAATGGTTCATAAGGATCAGGCCCAAGCAGGTCCAGAGGGCATGTCACTTTTGTTGCGCTAATGCTTCTTCTTCAGTTCACACACATGGCCTCAAACAGCTTCTGGATGATCCAGTGGTGATCCAAGTTCTCAGTGATCTTGCATCTGGTTCACAGATGGTGTGGCTTGGTACGAGAAGGGAAGAAGAAAATGGACAGTTGCCACCTTATAGTCTCCTTCAACATTGACCTTAAGGACAGAGTGTGGGGGAAATCCTGTCAGTGGACAGACCTGCAGCTGGTACACTTGGTTGTTCACTTTGTGTGGAAAAAGTGGCCAGAGATACAGGTATGCATAGACTTCTGGCTAGGAGCAGATGGCGTGTTTTGTTGACCAGGGGTGTGAAACTAGCAATATTAGAAGATTGGAGACATGTGGATTGCTATGGTCTAAATGTTTGTGTCTCCTCAAAATTCACATGTTAAAACCTAATCTCCAAGGTCATGGTATCAGAAGGTAGGGTCTTTGGGAAGTGATTAGGTCATGGAGGGGATTCCTGCCTTTATAAAAGAGATCCCAGACAACTAGCTAGCCCTTTCTATCATGTGAGGACACAGTAAGAAGCCAACATCTGTGAACCAGAGAGCAAGTCCTCATGAGAAACGAGTTCCTTGGGTAGGTGTTTTCCAGAAGGTAGTTTTTTTTGTTTGTTTGTTTGAGATGGAGTCTCACTCTTTTGCTCAGTCTGAAGTATAATGGTGCAATCTCAGCTCACTGCAACCTCCGCCTCCTGGGTTCAAGCAATCCTCCCACCTCTGCTTCCCAAGTAGCTGGGATTACAAGTATGTACCACCACACCTGACTACTTTTTATTTTTATTTTTAGTAGACATGGGGTTTCACCATGTTGGCCAGCCTGGTCTCCAACTCCTGACCTCAAGTGAGCCTCCCACTTTGGTCTCCCAAAGTGCTGGGATTACAGGCATGAGCCAATGCGTCCAGCATTTTATTTAATTTTCAGAACAATTACATGAGTAAATATTACAGTCACAACAATGTTGATCAGAGAAGTTAGGCAACTTGCCAAGCTGGTCAGCTGGGTGGCTAGGATAGAATTCAGCTGTAATTCTATCCTAGAATTTCTGTCTTCAACAGTGCAAACACAATTCCCACTTGTTTTTTGAACTTAAGAGCTATGTAACCTGCTGGGTCAGGTGAATTTACTAGGCCTCAAGAATCATCTTCCCTCAACTTCCCTCCTTATTTTTTATCCTAAATTTTACACTTTGTCCCCCTTAGTCAGACTGCAAACCTCCTTCACAGACCGTGTTATTGATTCGCTAGGACTACAGGCGCTCACCACCATGCCCAGCTAATTTTTTTTTGTTTTCGTGGAGATGGAATCTTGCTATGTTGCCGAGGCTAGTCTCGAATTCCTGGGCCCAAGCGACCCTCCCGCCTCAGACTCCCAAAGCGCACGGATTGCAGGACTTAAAGAGACAGTAAGTAGAACATCTTGGCTTAATAGGTCCAGGAAAACAGCCACGGCAACTATCAGGTTGGACTCTAGAGTGCAATTACCACTGTTGGCCACCAGATGGCAGAGGCACTCAGGGCATCGCCGCGAGAAGGCAAAGGATGTGCTGAAGACCGGGCTATAGGGGAAGCCTCCGGCCAGAGATCCAGAGGTTAGCCGCGTTCTCTTCAGCGAGAGCCAGTTGTTCAGGTAAATATAATTCAGACAGCTAGAATATGGGGTGCGCTGGTGAGATTCAAACAGGCTCAACTGCGTTCTACCAGAGGGAAAAATAGAGAGAGAGTGAGCTGGAGATTGGATCATTGCAACAGAAAGTTTCAAAGGCTCCGGATCAAGACACAACATAAATAAGCTGGGGAACAGGTCGGATGCGCTCTGCAGGCAGGGTAAGAACGGGTGATGGGCATGTGAAGGCGAGGATGAGCTGTGAGGGAAATTCAGGGTCGGCCGAGCGTCCAGAAGGGAGTTAATCTCGGCTATGCCTCGGACCATCTGACCCATAGATGACCCTGTTGTGGACTGTATTTTACAGAAATGGCCTTAAACACGTTTTGGGTCCTACGTTTTCCAGGAAGCTTAGTACTTCCCTGACAAGAGGTAGAATCTAGGTACTCTCCCCATGAACCTGGGCAGGACGTCCTGACTGCCTCAACTAAGAGTACAGTGGAAGTGACATATATGGCTTCCAAGACTCAGTCATCAAGATAGCGCAGTTTCTGCATGGCTTTCTCTCTCTCAGGACCCTCACTTTAAAACCCGAGCTACCATGTAAGGAGCTGGGCTGCCTGGAAGCTGCCATGTTAGAAACCGTGTGGAAGGATCACATGTGTTGGGACTCCCCAAAATGGAGACCTCAGAAGCAGAAGTTTTTCTCTGACCCTCTCCTGCCCTCCTGTGTCTCAGTGACATTCTCCCCTGAGGCCAGCCACGAAAACTGTCGTCCCTCTTCGCCAACATGGGTTACAGCAGCGGTCCCTAACCTTTTTGGCACCAGGGACCGGGACCAGTTTCACGGAAGATAGTTTTCCCACGGAGTGAGGCGGGGATGGTTTCAGCATGAAGCTGTTTCATCTCAGACCACCAGCCATTATGTAGATTCTGCAGCCTAGATGCCTCACTTGTGCAGTTCACAATACCTGTGAGAATGTAATGCTACTGCTGATCTGACAGGAGGCTGAGCTTAGACGCTAGTGCCGGCTCACCCACACTCACCTCCTGCTGTGCGGCCCAGTTCCTAACAGGCCACGGACCGGCACCGGTCAGCAGCCCTGGGGCTGGGACCTCTGTGTTATGTGAAACCAGAACTCTTATTCCCTAAAGCTACTCATAAAACCTAAAAATATGACTCCAATTCCCCCCTCTGCCTTTCTGCATAAAAACTGGCCGTAAGAAAATTATTTGGCTTATCTTGTTTGACTTTTGGTTATCAGATCGACCCCCATTTCAGAGACGATCCTCCCCATATCTAGAAGGAAAGAATACTGCACAGAGAAGCCAAGAAGAATCTAGACAGGCCTTACTCAGTCCATTAGCATTAGATCATTCCATTATTATCCAATCATATTTCTACACAGTCCATACTTTATTGGACCTAAGCAATAAAATGGACAATGTCCCCTGTGTTTTCAAATCTTCGTTCTGAAGCCTTCCACTATAATAATAATCCTACACATAAAATAGTATGTATCAGATTACAAAGAAATATAAAAATATTTTTAAAAGATATAATACATGGCTTCTTTTCTTTTTTCTTTTCTTTTTTTTTGAGACAGAGTCTCACTCTGTTGCCCAGGCTGGAGTGCAGTGGCCCAATCTCAGCTCACTGCAACCTCTGCCTCCTGGGTTCAAGCGATTCTTCTGCCTCGGCCTCCTGAGTAGCTGAGACTACAGGTGCACACCACCACACCCAGCTAACTTTTGTATTTTTAGTAGAGATAGGGTTTCACCATGTTGGCCAGGCTGGTCTTGAACTCCAGACCTCGTGATCTGGCCTCCCAAAGTGCTGGGATTACAGGTGTGAGCCACTGCACCCAGCCCATGTGCTTTTAAAATAATGTATTAAATAAGATAAAGTGTTGCCTGTAATAAATACTGTACCTTTCATGTGCTGATGAGCATAGAGGATATTTGGAGGTATCTGAACAACTGTGATAAAACAAACTTATTGCTATTTTTTTTGGTAACAAAGCCACAGGTATTTCTAATATTTTTAATATCTTGCTGCTTTAATTCATTATTGAAGGAAAAGCTAAATTTCATTTAGAGATGAGTGAAAATAAAGGACTAGTATTTTTTTCCCCCATCCAAGTTCATGAACAATTTCCCCTACTTCCCCAGCTCCCTCCGTTGAGAACCACGGGAAGCAGGTGCTTGCAAGGATCTCAGGGAATATTAACCAAGCCTGTCTTTTGCGAATGACAGAAGGGAAGCGAGTGACATTTAGTTCTTGCCCAAAGTCACGTGGCTTTTTGGAGGCAAGGCATTTTCCTAAGTGTTCCTCTTCCCCTTCCATTCTCTTTCATTCTCCTTCCTGTACATCTGTCTGCTTCTCTTTCTCCATGGCTTTTTCTGCTTCTGTGACCCTTCCTACTCATGAAATGAAATGGAGATCTTTAAAACCAAAGCCCCATGTCCACTAGCTGCTTTCTCATTCTTACTCACAATTCCAGAGGGTTTTTTTTTTTTTTCGGGGGGGCCTCATTGTTCTCATTTACATCCTGTGATATTTCACATGAGCCCTCTACTTAGATCATACATTCCTGGGTATTCCTGCATCTCACCCCAAGAACATGCTGCACTCTTTTTCTCCCCCCATGTATCTACATTAGCATCTCTTCCACGTGCGGTCTGAGAATTACTTGAAGCAGAATCACCTGGCCCCCTGCCCAGCCTCATGATTACATGGGGACGATGTTTAGAGCTTACATTTTCTCAAGCTGCACTGGCTGGTCTAATGGCTCTGAATGTTCACACAACACAGATCTAAGCCCCGTCCCTCCTGAAGGGCCACACTAGTTCCATCGACCCAGTATAGCCTCTTCTCACTACGAGAGCCTCACCTCCTCTGGAGACACCCACTTTCAGTATTGCTGCTTCTCATATTCTGTCCTGTTTGCTTGATTAGAACATTAAGGCTGAGAGAAAGAAGAGAATGAGGGGATTAACAGTCATCATGCTGGATACTCCTCAAGGCTCAATGAAGTAGATACTATTGACCCCATTTTACAAGTAAGAAAATTAAAATTTAAAAAGTCGAGTAATTTGTTCAGGGTCACACAGTTAATAAATGGTGAAATTAAACTGCTAGCCTTGGTCTTTTTTTTTTTTTTTCTCCAAAGCCTCTGTTCTCATGACACAGACCTTATTCAACGTAATCTCAGGGATGAGACATAGCATCTTTGCATTTGCTGTACCTCAAAATATGTTCCCCCCCTTTTTTTTTTGCAAGAATCTGGAATTGATCCTTCACAGATTTCTTTCTCATTTTCTACCCACTCCCTTAAATGTATGTCCTTCTAAAGTTCTGCCGTGATCTCTTTTCTCATTCTTCATGCTAACCTCATTTTTTGCACCTATATGCATGCCAAGTACCTGAATCTATCTCAAGCCAGGATTTCCCTATGAGCTTGAAACCCATATGCCTAAATGCCTAGCGTCAATCCCATAGGGACTAAAATCCAGCCAGCCGGACTTTGTTCCTTGGCCTCACTTCCAAGCACCTTTTCTTACCAAGCACTTCAGCTGCTGCAGCGGATTCTGTGGGAAGGCTCTTTCAACATCTCTAGCCTGTATTTAGTGGACCTCCCCAGTGCAGAGGCTAGAACAATCCTTTTCTATTCTACCCCTCAGTTTCTCAGAGCCCCACGGCTCAGTCCTAATCCCTGTTTCCTTCTACAGTCACTCCTTAGGTTGTATCATTCAGTTTACAGGAATTTTATAGCATAGATTTGCTGATGGATCTCAAATGTCTCTCTTTCCAGCCAGATCTCTCCCCTGGGCTTCAAACCTGCCTACCCGATCACACATTAGCCATCTTCATATGCGTGTCTAATCAGTGTTGCACAGTCAGTACGTCCAAATAGAACACTGAGGTCCTGCTGCCTGCTGTGCTCACCTTACGTGTGGTGCTTGACTGACCCTCCCACCCCTTTCAGGTTTCTACTCAGACGCCTTGCTCTGCCCACCTGTCTCAGACACCCACCCGCACCTTAACCACTTAATTTTATTTCCA